CCCCCCCCCCCCCCCCGCGACTCCGCTTAGCTCGCTTCTTCATCGCCCTGCCAGCCAGGACAGCAGTCCCGCCATAACGCCTTGCTACACTATTGTGGTAGAGGTAGATTCCAGTTTGCTTGTCGCCGCGCCGTGATGCCGCGTCTTGTTGACCGCCCCAAGTCTGTTTCAAACTCAAGTCTCTGGACCATAGAGAGCGAGAAATCATTGTCTGGTCAGCATGGGACAGTGTGTATGTGCACATGTGCATGTAATAAGATGCCATGTGCACCACACCTACGCGAAGCGATTGGCCGAAAGGGGAGCAGAAGAGACGAGGAGGGACTGGAAAAATGCGATCAGATTGGATGGGACCGGATTGGATGGAATGTCGGAGTATGTAGTATAGTGTACTGCGCAGTAGATCAGATCTGCCAGATCCGTCATGGACTGCGTAGTGTACATACCTAGTGTACCCAAGGAGCCAAGGAACATCCATTGGCGGCAACGGTGGGACCCGGTGAACTGGAGACTGACTGGATGGGGAGATCATCGTTCGGTCATTCGCTGAGAGGGCATGTCGGCGGAACAACGTCCGTCTGCCTGCGTCCTAGGTAAAGGTGATTTGATAAGTGGTGAGCGGAGCAGGGAATTACTTGGGCGCAATGGTTCGCATCAACCTTGACGAGAACGTCGATGGCATAAAACTTGCAACGGAGCATATAAACAAATTGAAAATGTGTGAGCTCATGAGGGCACTGAGACTGTGGCTCGGATTTAACCATTTTCCCGAATGCACTTGGTTCGCGGGGAGGGTGCAAATAATCGTAGATCCGATGCCCCCATCTCTGCAACCTCCTCAACTAGTGGCCGCGATCATCTTTGGAAATCTTCAACCAGTCGGCGGGGAATAACAGCCAGTACGGTGTGTTTTGCCGAGATTGAAATGAAGTGTTGCTATTGTAACAAGTCCTCATGGATACCCGAAACGTTTGATAGGTGTTTTCGGTATGTGGTCATTGGCTGTCGTGTCGAATATTGCCAGGCCTGGAACAGACACCGAACCCGATATATCATGGCAAAGCTTTGTTCTACGCGCGTTTATGGAGTTGTTCATCGGTTTGGCCGTCGGGGTCGCTTTCTGGCTTGGTTTTAGGTTGCTCATCTGCGCCGTGTCGCGATAGTTGGGATAGGGTCGAGGAAGGGCGTATACCAACAATGGGCGAAAATGATATAGAGTATGGTAGAATATGTGCTGGTAGCATCAATAGTCGTCGAGTAAGATTGTTTGGCGCGACGCTGGCCTTTTCTTTGTTCATCAGATAGAGTCCTTTGGCATCTGGTTGTTGTCCATACAGGTCGAGATTCGATCAGCCTCGTGGTTCTATTGGACCATGGTCTCGGTGTGTGTTCTTGCGTCGCTCTTTCGAGTATGGACAGAACTGACTGCGGCATACAGCTGGTTGACGAAAAATTGTATTGTATCGTCTACATGGCCTTCTTTAGCCTCCTTGTTCAAGATTTTAATGATGAGGAGCTGCTGCATCGGCGAAAGAGCCAGTGGGTAGCCTAGTGTTGTTGTCAGATAATTTGATGGAGGTACATTCCCCCATCGAGCGTCAGGGGTTGAGAGTGAAAACGCACGCTTTTTTGCTTCGAGGGAGAATCGACATTCGAAAGGCTTGGCCGCGCCGAGAACTGAATGTGGACTTGTCGTCGTGATGAACTTGTCGTCGTCCATCGGAGCGGGATGTGGGTCTGCGTTGGCTAATTGTTCGGAATCTACCTGTACGTCAAGCGACTGGTCACATGAGGCAGTGTCTCTGCCGTAATGGTGTAGAAGCATTCCATTGAAGAAAACGTACCCTGGAATGTCTGCATGTGTACCGCCGTTTTGCACATGCAAGCATCACCGCAAGCAGATTCAGGGTCTTCGGCCGTAGTTCGGGTAACACCCTTGACTGCCCTGCAGAAGGAGATAGTCTGCGCCTGTAGACAATGCCAATCACAAGTATTGACCCACGAGTAGTATAATGTCACAACATGCTTCTGCCATCAAAGGCTTGTCGGATATCCTGCATGCGCCTGCTCATGGCGAAACGATGATCCCTTATGGGATGTTTGGGTGGGAGGACCGGGGGGACAGTACATGACAAGGGTTGGACGCCACTTCAGCAAGCAGGAACCAGGAACCGAGACACCGGTGCGCGGATCCACAAATAGGGCTGACCAATGACATATTATACAATCGCCAAGTTCAACCTCACGGCATATAAATGCAGATTCTCAGATAAAACTCCCAAAGCAATGAAAGTAGTGATCGCTCCCAAACCTCCTTCATTAGCGACCGCGATGGCTTCATACGACCCTTCAGGCAAGACCCTCTAGGGGCACCCCCATCTCCACTGTCGCAAGGCCCACACCACCTTCTATAAAAGTCGTTAAACATCTCTGCTACAGGTACCACTTACCTGCCTCTAGCGATGCCTCTAATCATTTCAGGCCCTGAGACTTCCCCGCTGAAGCTTTATTCTCGCCTGCCTCTCGCTAATTCACTTGCCCTAGGGGTCACTTGCCTGCTGTATTTCCTTCTCTCTTCAGGTGCTTAGTTGCCTGTGTACTCCCCCGCAGACCCTCGGGCAGATTCGAAACACCCCCTGACACGCTCCGGACAAAGAGTGCCCACGTCCACCAGTAAGGCGCGCCTTCCCAAAACGTGTCCATCAGTAGCCAATAGGGCGCGCCTTCCCAAATCGGATGTTTTTTTTGTAGGGCTGAGCCTGGGACTAAAGCAAATCTCCCACCCGTCCCGGCCCTCTCTCGTTCTTCTCCTCTTTCCTCTTCTTCAACGATCGCAACCAAAGCTTTCAACAACATCAACAACAACATTCTGTCTTCATTTTCTTCAAACTGCAACAACGCTTTTCATCTCATCAATCACTCAGCAATCACCATCAACAAAATGCAACAAACAAGCTCGAACGAGTTGTCTCCCATTGGAGCCTTCCTCATGAGGATCCTTTGGCTACTCTTCACATCGGCCGCCAACTGCCTCCAGCTTCTCGACGCCACCTTGTGGCCGGCTTGGAAGGCATCGGTCATGTGGCTGGACCACCACACCATCGGTACAATCATCAGCATTGTCGACGCCGTCACAGGCACACACTCACTTTCGACAATCACGCCGTTCGGTATGCTGGCCAGACTCGCCGCATCTCTGCTGTACAAAATCATCGACTGGTTCCCCGAGGTTCCATCGTTCCCCGAGCAGAGGTGTGGTTCCAACTATCGCAGTTGTTCGACTCAGACAACAACGGACGATCCCAACATCTCAGCCATGCTGGAGTTCTTCGGTTCTGGTCTCGACTACCTCACCGAGTTCTTCGCCACTGGTCTGAAGTCCGTTGTGTCACCCTTCGACGGCAACACTCCCAAGTCCTCGACTTCCTCTCTCGTCGCTGTCCCGCGCACCCCTGTGAGACAGCAAAGCTCGCTCGCCAACAAGACCAAGAGCACGAGTCCCTCGTTTTACGGTTCCGACGATGACGCGGCCTAGAGCCCTGCTGATTCTAAAGGTCCCGATCTCGACAACTTTTCCGTCTGTTCATCGTTCCATCCATCGGGCGAAGAAGACTGGTTATCAGATCACTCTTTCTTCGACAGCCCAATTCCAGCTGTCAAGAAGGAGCAGAAAGCGCGCGTCGCAAGGCGCGGATCTGGTTCGGACTCGGACACCTCCACGCTTTCGGAGAGAGAGAGAGGCGTCAGCAATGGCGCAGGGCAAATGATGAGCGTGTGCGAGAGTACGCGGCGAATCATCTTGCTCAGGAGGAGAGGCAACGTCAGGCTCGGGTCGCTTTGGAGGCCCACTGGCGTCGTCAAGAAGAAGCTCGAAAGGCTCCTCGGGGCCCTAGAGTTATCCGGGACCCTATTTCGGGCCGGGTCTACACGAACTAGCCAACTAGTGTAGTCTTCTGCGGGGAGTGTAACATGATCGCGCACACCGGGTGCAGATTGTGTGCGCTATGAAGGGGTAAGAGTGCGGAGGAGAGTACCTGGCGATTATCTGAGGCGCAAGGAGTGAGTTCTTCCAAACCCCCAATCTGGTTGTAACAAATTACTAACAGTCTTTCAGCTCAGTGGAGGACAACAGATTCACACGACGGACCGCATCGGAGGAGTTGGGGGGCGGGGTGGAGGACTTACACTGTGAGGCGCGAAGCCGGGAAGCACGATCGGACCGCATCGGAGGAGTTGGGGGGCGGGGCGGAGGACTTACACCGTGAGGCGCGAAGCCGGGAAGCACGATCAAGCGATCGACAAGACGACCAGGCAAGTACATTGATTTTCTTAGAAAAAAAAAACAAAAAAAAAAAAAAAAAAAGAATATGTAGACTTAATAGATAGGAGACGGAGTTGGGGGCGTTGGGAGTTGGTGGTGTTTGGAGTTTTGGCGTACTAACCTAGCTGGGTTGTGAGTCGCGAAGTCGCGCTCAATTTTCCCTCCCGATCACAAGTGTGGGGTAAAAAGGGTAGTGAAGTCGGACGTCTATGCCTCCACGTGGCACTACCTGGAAACCTAGGTGGCTTTGCTGCCTAGGGCCAAATAGACGACGCATCGTGAGGCTTGGTGGGCGGGGGAGGGGAGCTGGGAAGAATGTCCTTTTGGAAGGATTGGAGGATGGATGGGTGTCTGGGAGTCGGGGAACTTGGGCGTTGTGCGGTGGGATTTGGCTTGGTAGGATGATAAATAGTGCAGACGAATAGAATGGCTCTTCTCACATTATTTTCCCCCTGCCTGCATGCAAACCGTGCCTTGGCTTTGACAACTGACAGTAGGGTGATGTGGGCATCATGGAAGGGGTAGTGAGACAATGAGACAGATATGGCACGGGATATCGATCTCTATGGCGGCTGCAAGATATTGGCAGCAGTAGCAGCAGGCGTGATATAAGTGCTTGTCAAATCATCGTCCATCCTTGATGAAGTCTCCACGTCTGGGCGAGGGCGGTGAACTTGGTTCGGTGATGGACATGGACATAGGCATGGGATAGCCATCCGCTGCGTCGTAGATCGTGTTAACCAAGTTCGCTCCAGCCTCCACAGGTTTGTCTTGCGGTTGTGGTGCCAATGACTGTGAGTGTGTGGGTGTAGATGTGAAGATAGCTTCCAGTCAGATGGGATATGCCTCATCAAGTTCTGCTCGAGGTTCCCACTCGGTTGGTTTGGTTCGGTGCCAGCAAGCACAGTTCCCATGACGAGAGATCGCCAGCATAAGTAAAGTAAGTACGTTCCACTTGGATTCGGGTTGCCTTGCCCTTAAGCCGTCCGTCACCATGCTGAGCAACTCCAACGGACTCGAGAGCATGGATTGTCAAGTGACTCGAGGGATGACCTGTGACGGGATGCATGAACTGGTCTGAGAAGAGGAAGAGGCGGGGGCGGAAGAGGCAGGCTTGTTGGAACTATGCGTGCTGCAGTGGCGTCGGAACAAGTCATGGTATTGTGAATAACAACCGCGAGTCTTTCTGATGAGAATGACTTGTATTATTTACGGCACTATCCATAACCCATACTTGACAAAGCCTGCTTTCAAGTATACACGCAATCCGAAAGACGCATTGTCGGAGCACGAACGTGTCAAAGATGCCCTGCAGCAGACAAGCGCACTGCCAAGCGGCCTACCACAAGCGTACACCCATCTCAAACCATCCATTTATTCACCCAGACATCCAGGCGGCGGCTCTGCGGGCCCCGAAGGACGTCGCAACGCGAAGACCATCCGCCCCCATAGGGAAGTAGCTGACTAGGTACCAGATCAGAGCCGCCATCTGGACGAGGGCGGAGAGGAGGGTGAGGATGGTGCTGTGTAACTATTTCCTATCATGTTAGTCAACTATGATACGCCAGACAAGGGCTAGAGCGAACTCACGCTAAGAGCAAAGTACATGGTCAGAATCAAGGAGCCAAAGTATGCCGATGTAAAAGGCAACCTTGTACCAGAGGTCAGGTGCTTCAAGTACGCCCAAGGTCCCATCATAGCCGCAAAGGACGTGATGAAGAGTATCGAGCCGAGTGTCCACCTATGGGTCAGGGACCGCATGCGTTAGCAAGACATCCATAGTTGACTATCCGATCTGCCCCTTAGAATGTCGATGATACCAACAAGTCATCCAAGCGCCGGATGATCGGCCTCGTAGAGTCATCGGGCCGCCAACATGGCTAGGCTATCATGCGAATGTTGTGCATATGCACCATCAAACAGATATAACGACGGGTTCCAGTGCATAATGATGAGTCAAGTCAAGAAATTGGGGGGGGGGAAGGTTCCCGAGAGAGGGAGTAAGGGCTGGGCTTGGGAAAGCAACTTGGTTGTGGAGGGAAGGGGGAAGGTTGTGAAGAACAAGGAGGCGCTCACAGGATTACGAGCTTGCGCGGCTTTAGTGACAACACTGGGAACAAGGCGAAGGCCAGGACGAAGCAAGCCAGCGCGCCCAGATTGCAAGCAGCGAAAATCAGCATGCGGTCCCACCGGCTCACTGTAGAGTACTCATTAGCCGTGCTGTAGCGTCGATGATCTCCAAAGTGGACGTGAATAGGAAGGAGGATGAAACCGCTATACCCTCCCCTCCCCCACCATCTACATGCTCAGCAACCTGGTGACTGAGACACGGAAACGCGAAAGCGGCACATGTCCTGCACCGCGAATCTCCTCTGCAGGGGTACGAAGGGAAAATGCTGCAAAGCACAGCAGGCAACATGGAAAGACGAGCAGCTGAAGCAAGCACAATGGGAGTTGACTCACAAACAAACCAGCCTTCTTCCTCTTCCCGACGGGTAGGGGCTGGAAGAGCAGCACCGGGGCCTTCAGTCGTTGGTAGTTGAACATAGCCACCATTGCCGAAGGGGTTGAGAGACTTGATGGATGATAGTAGACCGCGCTGTTGGGACGTGTTGACAGGAATGTCCGCTTCTCGGCGGGACCATCCTAGAGAGCTCAGCGAGTCTCGGAAAGACGCCGAAGCCATGATGGAGAGACGGGGATGTCTAAGGTCGGGTGTCGGGAGTATGAGACCGTGGGGGTGGAGCCTTGGTGAAATGGGAGAGTTCCGGTCTCGTTTCCTTCAGGACCACAAATTGGCCAGTACTTTGGAACTATGTAAAGATGGAGTGTCCAGTGACCGTCTCTATGAGGACGATTACGGACAAACAAGGCCGGAGCTGACTTGTGATAGATCGGATGGAAAAGGGGTGTGTAGATGGTCGAGCAAGCGGTGTTATTGGGTAGCGGTGCCGGAGTGGGTGGTGCGGTAAGGTGAGATACGCTCGCAGCGGGTAGGGCGACTGACGGCAGAAGCGACCATAGACTGTATCCGAAGAGGGAGAATTAGTCTTGAATGTTTGATATCAGGGAAGAGGCAATCATGCGACCACCAGACGGCCAGAGGTCGACAGGAATAAGACCCACGTTTGGTGTTCAGATGATACCGCAGTCAAGGACGCGACAAGCTCGGGAGGCTATCGGCTGCAAAAATAGCAGGTTTTGGCGATCTAGTTCAAGCCCCTGTCTTCCAATTGTTGGAAACGCTTGGGGGTCGTCTGGGGAGAGTTCCGTGTTTGTCGCCGCCTTCCGACGCGGTGTGCGTGTTCAACAGTGTCGTTACGTAGGGATGCCTGGCACACGATATCGGCAACTCGGGTATCTTGGATAGCTGGGTGGCCGACTAGTGTGCGTGGTTATGTGAAGGTGCAAATGATAGAGCCTAGATACCTACATAGGTTGATCGCGTTAGGGTGATGGATGGGGTACGCAGCTCAGATGCGCGTGTTGGGGCGTGTCGCACTGGTGGTGACAGGTTGCTGCCCTGCCCTGCACACAACAACCGAGTGAGGTTCATGGGTTGCTCGGAGTTGACTGAAGCTTCCTGGCTCTAGCCACCTTACACTACACTACACTGAGTGGCCAGCTCGGCCAGCTAGCGGCGGCAGTGAGGTGGGACTGAATGCGCATGCAACGGCCTGATCGGACGCAACCACAGGCTTTGCCGTCTGTCATCTGATTGGCCAGTCTATACCATCCTTGGTCCACAAGGTGATCACGGACCCAGCTCGCAGGGTGGCATCCAAAGCGACGTGGGAAGGCATCCACTCACCTCACGCCGGGCGCCCTCTGGCATCCTCTCCAAAACTGAACCCATTCGTTTAGAGGGGCTGTCAGTCAGTCCTCCGCCATGAGGGGAAACAGTCCTACAGCTGAGGGGCAACCATTGTCGAATGTTGCACAACTCCTACTATGTAGCTCCAGAGAGACAACCCTCAACAGACGACGCGGCGAGGAATGACTTCCAATGTGCTTTGCGGCAATCAACCGTACTCGATAAACGGCAAAAGGGAAGGAAGCATGGAAATCATATGAAATGCATGGGGCGTCTCCTTGACGGTCTTGTCCTTCAACGTCAGCAATGGTGCGGGGTCCATGGGCCTCTGAGGACCACAGTACGTATGTGCAGCTTCACCAACACGCCTCGCTTGCGTAGCGCGGGGTCTTACTATGGAAACTGGAGAATCAGACAGGGCAGGCTCTAATCCCGATAGCGACGAGGGCTCAACGTCTTAGATGACACTTGGCGCGATAAGACGGCCATGGGGATGTAGATGGCGATGGCTAGCTAGGATCTGCCAACATCCTTCCTCTTGCTGTCTAAGAGTCCTACATCGGCCGGCTCCTCAACTGCAGTGCTGGATGCCGGTCGAACCCCCAACTTCTCGGTGAGTGGCCCTTTCTGCCTCGGAATCATCGTGCCGGCTGTTGTTCGCCTGATGGAGGGCATCTTGTTGGATGAGTGAATGGTTACGGCCGAAGTCTCTTCGACAGAGAGGCGTCGTGCATGGCATGTTGAAGATTTATTGGCATGCGTATTGCCAGAGCTTTCATGTACGTTCGTATATGGTAGCTCTAAGCGCAGCAATATGCACTAGGAGTCTTTGTGTCTCTATCAAGCTTGAATACAACCCAGACTACTGCGTGGATAACTCAGATCGGATAAAGCAGTCCGCTCCACCAAGGAAGGTCTGGAGTAGGGTAGATTTGGACTGTGTGAGCATAGGCCCTGAACTGGGTGTGAGGTTGCCATGATCAACGTTTTCGGATTGGTGTGCCTTGGTGTCTCACCCGCCGAGTCACGCTGATAGACAGGTGCCCTCCATGATCCCAGGATGCTCCTCGCCCATCATACCTTTTTACAAAAATTTCACATCTCCTCCGATGTTCCCGATCAGCTAAATCATCAGCCCGAAAGATGTCGAAGGAAATCCGCAAGGGTATCAGGCAGTGTTGTAGCGATTGCATATT